AGGTGGTCGGTGTTGTAGTGTCGGTGTTGTGTGTGGTTGGTCGGTGTTGTAGGTGGTCGGTGTTGTCGGTGTATGTAGGTGGTCGGGTGTGTAGGTGTCGGTGTCGGTGTTGTAGGTGGGTCGGTGTTGTAGGTGGTCGGTGTTGTAGGTGGTCGGTGTTGTTGGTCGGTCGGTGTTGTAGGTGGTCGGTGTTGTTGGTCGTGTTGTACGTGTGGTTGTAGGTGGTCGGTGTTGTAGGTGGTCGTGGTCGTGTGTAGGTGGTCGGTGTCGGTAGTGTGTAGGTGGTCGGTGTGTCGGTGTTGTAGGTGGTCGGTGTGTTAGCGGTGTTGTAGGTGTGTTGGTGTCGGTGTTGTACGTGTGTTGGTAGGTGGTCGGTTGTGGTAGGTGGTCGGTCGTGTGGTACGGTGGTCGGTGTTGTAGTGGTGGTCGTGGTGTAGGTGGTCGGTGTTGTAGGTGGTCGGTGTTGTAGGTGGTCGGTGTTGTAGGTGGTCGGTGTTGTAGGTGGTCGTGTTGGTGGTCGGTGTCTGTAGGTGGTCGGTCGGTGTTGTAGTGGTCGGTGTTGTAGGTGGTCGGTGTAGAGGTGGTCGGTGTGTAGGTGGTCATGGTGGTGGTCGTGGTGGTGTCGGTGTTGTAGGTGGTCGGTGTTGTAGTGGTCGTGGTGTAGGTGGTCGGTGTGTACGTGGTCGGTTGTACGTGGTCGGTGTTGTAGGTGGTTGTTACACAAAGTTTGGCGTAGTAAACCAAATTTTGTAGTCAGATGAATCATGGCAATAGGAACAAAAACGTACAGTGTGACCACGCCCCTTTACAAACCGGAAGTCCGACATCTTTGATTTGTTTTTGTTTTTTTAAAGGGCCCATGTCATACAAAAGAACTCTTTTCACATTGTATCTTCTGCACATATTCAAGTTCACAATTTGGGTTTTGGAACATCCATTCCACAATAGTTCCGAAATCTTGCTGATTTCTTGGAGACATTCACAGACCAGGAACTATGAAAGTCTGACTACTGCTCCTCCCCCCGCCCGTCCTGAAAAAGCACAGGTTCCGCCCTCCAAATGTGACATAGGCTCTGAGTGAGCTGCCCTTCCTCCCCAGGGAGGGAGGGGGAGACAGACGTGCACCCTGATAGCGACAGGAATAAACTTTTATTCATCGTGGTGATACAGCGAGTTCAGCCACATGTGTTGGACCCGGAATCGGACGAGGACTTTGAGGAGCATGAAGAGCAAGCACCGTGTCCACATCAGCTGAACATTACTTATTGGTAAAGTATTAATAAACGCTAGTAGATAAACTTATTATATCATGAACACTGCAGAGAGATTATGCTGTCGCTTTTGTTGAGGTGTTCATGTGGGAATTGTCAGACGATGCCAGTGGAGGAGGTGGAGTGGGGGATGGGGGCAGTTGTGAAGCATTTTCTGCTATGTCAAACGCATCATAGGTGTATCTGCCACGTCATTGTTGTTGCAGTTTTAGTTCGTTGTCAAATGGGAGGGTGGCAGAAATATGCTACAATTTGTTTAAAAAATGCAGAATCAATCTAAAAACCACTTCAGCGACAAATACAAGGCCCACACATCACTCTTAGGCTGCGTTCAGACTGCAGCCTGAAGTGACCCAAATCCGATTTTTTGTCTCTATGTTCCTGTATCTGATCTTTTAATGACAGTTTGAACGACACAGATCAGATTTTTTCAAATGTGACCCAGGACACTTGGATATGTGCTCCTGAAACTGATACATATCTGATCTTTTGACATGTGACTTCAGTCTGAACGCCCAAAGTGCATTCATCCACCTACACGTTATCAACAAGACACAAACGTCACTATTCTGCGCTGAAGTAGGCGAAAATTGTTAATGAACTCTGTGTCACTGAAGTGAAGCACATCACCACTCACCACTCTTGGCTCCGTCTCCACATCCACATGTTCCTTTCAACGTTCTGCCCCACAAAACACCACGACCAAAAACCTCGTCCTTCTCCTTCTCAATCTCCTCCTTAAAACAAATAAGTTGTTCATGTTCTGGCTCCGGTACGAGAGGAACTTTAAAATCTCCAGGTGCTCGATGCTGCGTCCATGTTTGGACAACTTCTGTAAACACAGAGACGCTCGCTGCGGTTGACGTCATCGTGTCTCCAGTGTCACATGTGGGACACTTTTGGGCCGTTTAATGTTCACACTGGAGTCACATACAAGTCACATTTAACTGGAAATGTGAACGACCTCGAAAAAACATCGGATTTCACAAAAAAATTGGAATTGAGCGTTAAGCCCTGCAGTCTGAACATAGCCTAAGAAGGTAGAAAGCTCTGAAAAGTTGATTTTGCATGAGATGGGCTCTTTCAATATGTATATGCAGAAAAATGGCAGGGTTAGGTTAGGAGTTAGGGTTGGGGTTACGACTCAGGTTAGGTTTAAACTTAGGGTTACATTCAGGGTTAGGCTTGGCGTTAGGGTTGGGGCAAGGGGTTAGAGTCGTGTTTTGGGTTTATGGTGATTAGTATTGCAAAGCGATGCTTCTAGTGAGCGGAAAGTGAAATGACGCGACGTGACTTGCCCGTAGTGAGCAGGGACCCTCGCCATGATGAAGCAATGCACCAGAAGTTTCCAAAAATGTAAAGTTTGTTGGCCAAAAAATGATACATTTGGATCAAAGGAGCGTCTCAGATCAGGTGAAAAAACACGAGCTCCGTTAAAACACAGACCAGACGCTTCACATTTTGTTCATCGTCGTAAACAGAGAAAAATCTCCTGGAGTTGATGAAATGATTAAAAAAACAGAATGTCACTTATGCTCATGTTTATTTTGCCACAACTTTACAAAGATTCTTTTTCAGGTTTTAGATTTCACAGCACATGTCGTTCTTAAGAGAATAAATGAAGACAGATTCTCAAAAAAGCAAAAAGACGTCACTGGACTTTTAAACAGTCGAGTTCACATCAATTCATAATTTGTCCTTCTACACTTGGTTTAGACCTGGTTCAGTCCTGGTTTTGTTTAGACCTGGTTTAGACCTGGTTTAGTCCTGGTTTAGACTGGTTAGTCCTGGTTTAGTCCTGGTTTAGTCCTGGTTTAGACTGTCTGGTTTTAGTGGTTCAGTCCTGGTTCAGTCCTGGTTTAGTCCTGGTTTAGTCCTGAGTGGTTCAGTCCTGGTTTAGTCCTTGGGTTTAGTGGTAGTCCTGGTTCAGTCCTGGTTTAGTCTGGTTTGGTCCTGGTTTAGTTTAGTCCTGGTTTCCTGGTTAGTCCTGGTTAGTCCTGGTTTAGTCCTGGTTCAGTCCTGGTTTAGTGGTTAGTCCTGGTTCAGTCCTGGTTTAGTGGTTCAGTCCTGGTTTAGTCCTGCTGGTTTCAGTCCTGGTTTGACCTGGTTTTCAGTCCTGGTTTAGTCCTGGTTTAGTCCTGGTTTAGTCCTGGTTAGTCCTGGTTCAGTCCTGGTTTAGTCCTGGTTTTAGGCCTGGTTTTCCTGGTTTAGTCCTGGTTTTAGTCCTGGTTCAGTCCTGGTTTAGTCCTGGTTTAGTCCTGGTTTTCAGTCCTGGTTTAGTCCTGGTTAGTCCTGAGTCCTGTTAGTCCTGGTTTAGTCCTGGTTTAGTCCTGGTTTAGTCCTGGTTTAGTCCTGGTTTAGTCCTGGTTTAGTCCTGGTTCAGTCCTGGTTTAGTTCCTGGTTTAGTCCTGGTTCAGTCCTGGTTTAGTCCTGGTTTAGACCTGGTTTAGTCCTGGTTTAGTCCTGGTTTAGTCCTGGGTTTAGTCCTGGTTCAGTCCTGGTTTAGTCCTGGTTTAGACCTGGTTTAGTCCTGGGTTTAGTCCTGGTTTAGTCCTGGTTCAGTCCTGGTTTTGGTTTTAGTCCTGGTTTAGTCCTGGTTTAGTCCTGGTTCAGTCCTGGTTTAGTCCTGGTTTAGACCTGGTTTAGTCCTGGTTTAGTCCTGGTTTAGTTGGTTTAGTCCTGGTTTAGTCCTGGTTCAGTCCTGGTTTAGTCCTGGTTTAGTCCTGGTTTAGTCCTGGTTAGTCCTGGAGTCCTGTTTCAGTCCTGGTTTAGTCCTGGTTTAGTTCCTGGTTCAGTCTGGTTTAGTCCTGGTTTAGTCCTGGTTTAGTCCTGGTTAGTCCTGCAGTCCTGGTTTAGTCCTGGTTTAGTCCTGGTTTAGTCCTGGTTCAGTCTGGTTTAGTCCTGGTTTAGTCCTGGTTTGTCCTGTTCAGTCCTGGTTTAGTCCCTGGTTTAGTCCTGGTTTAGTCCTGGTTTAGTCCTGGTTTAGTCCTGGTTCAGTCCTGGTTTAGTCCTGGTTTAGTCCTGGTTTAGTCCTGGTTCAGTCCTGGTTTAGTCCTGGTTTTAGTCCTGGTTTAGTCCTGGTTTAGTCCTGGTTTAGTCCTGGTTCAGTCCTGGTTTTAGTCCTGGTTTAGTCCTGGTTTAGTCCTGGTTCCTGGTTCAGTCCTGGTTTAGTCCTGGTTTAGTCCTGGTTCAGTCCTGGTTTAGTCTGGTTTAGTCCTGGTTCAGTCCTGGTTTAGTCCTTGGTTTAGTCCTGGTTTTAGTCCTGGTTTAGTCCTGGTTCAGTCCTGGTTTAGTCCTGGTTTTAGTCCTGGTTTAGTCCTGGTTTTGTCAGTCCTGTTTAGTTGGTTCAGTCCTGGTTCCTGGTTTAGTCCTGGTTTAGACCTGGTTCAGTCCTGGTTTAGTCCTGGTTTAGTCCTGGTTTAGTCCTGGTTTAGTCCTGGTTCAGTCCTGTTTTTAGTCCTGGTTAGTCCTGGGTTTAGTCCTGGTTTCAGTCCTGGTTTAGTCCTGGTTTAGTCCTGGTTAGTCCTGGTTCAGTCCTGGTTTAGTCTGGTTTAGTCCTGGTTTAGTCCTGGTTTAGTCCTGGTTCAGTCCTGGTTAGTCCTGGTTTAGTCCTGGTTAGTCCTGGTTTCCTGGTTCAGTCCTGGTTTAGTCCTGGTTTGTCCTGGTTCAGTCCTGGTTAGTCCTGGTTTAGTCCTGGTTTAGTCCTGTTTAGTCCTGGTTTTTTCCTGGTTTAGTCCTGGTTTAGTCCTGGTTCAGTCCTGGTTCAGTCCTGGTTTAGTCCTGGTTTAGTCCTGGTTCAGTCCTGGTTTAGTCCTGGTTCTGGTCGTGGTTTTGTGGATTGTGGTTATTTGCTGCAGTTTAAATTTGCCACTTTATGAAAGACGAAGAATAAAATCTGCTCGTTCTTTTCTCTGTTTCCTGGGTTTGTTTTTTGCATTTTAGTTAAATTGTTCCCATGTTTTAGTAAAATATCCTAATTACAATTGTTTCCTCTCCCAGTTTAGTCCTGGTTCAGACCTGGTCCATATTTGTAATTCGCTAATGACTCAGTGTAGATTTTCTTTTTCTAGTGTTTGTGGTTCCCCACCTCAGTGTGACTCTAAACCAGAGGTGCTCACACTTTTTCATCATGTGAGCTACTTACAAAATGACCAAGTCATAATGATCGACCTAATACAAAGTCAAACAAACTGCACTGAAACACTCTGTGCCCCTTTTTCGGACCCTCCCCCACAGTTTGAGAACCTCTTCTTTAAGAGAACTTCCTCTGACACTTTACACAAAACTGTGAAAAAAAAATGAAGGAAGATTTTTAAACCTGTTTTTTAAAGTTCCAAACTGGAGTTATATTCTTTTCTGGTTTTGCAGTGATATTTACCAGCCTCTGCACATTTACCAAACCAAACGCACATCGTGACAAACACAGATGCATTTGTGCACTTTTGTTATTCAAACTTCAGCCAAATGTGGCAGTAGGTCTGTTCTGTAGATCCGCTCTATGCTGTAGACCTGCTTTGTGCCAACACTGGAACACAAATTTAGACTGGTTTTTGCTTCACGTTTGGTCTTGTTCTTCTAATCAGCCGCACTGTGGGAGGGGCTTGTGTTGGCTGTACGCAGGAAGGAGCGAGAGCGTGAAAAGGCGAGGGGCGGCGTGCTGACGTGAGGCAGGTGGACAGGTAGGATGTTTAGGAAGTTGAACCTGCCCTGTGATGCACGCTGGTACACGAGGGCACACGCTGTCGCAGACGAGCCGTGCATAGGGAGCGTGTGTGTTTGTGATGCGCCGTAGAGTCTCCGCGGGTTTCAAATGAGCGCACAGGCTGAACTGAGACGCCCCACACGCTCCTGCACCCGCTACAAGTTTATTACCAACAGCAGCGGCCGGAATGAAATAAAATCTCAAACAGTTGTCAACATTTACAAAACTCTGCACTGCTCAGCCCCATCCCCACCACACACACTTCACAAAGTCAGAAAGTTACACAGAGTCCTTCTTTTATGTCACTGTGTTTTCATTTTCACCACAGACACTGAACTGAAATTATACCACAGTCCAAACCCAGGGAACAGAGGCTCAGTGAAGGAGGAGGTGAAGGTGTAGAGATGGAACAGTTTTCCAACATAGACCATATAGAAGGACAAAGATCCAGCCTCAGTGTCCAGGAACACACCCAGTCTGCCAGAGGACACATTCACTCCACTATCGAACACATGCTCTCCTATTGAAAGTTTTTGTGGAGAGTAGATGTCTTTTTCTCTGCTGTTGTGGTGGACGCTGTATCGTCCAGAATTGACCCGTAAACTCCAGGACTGATCATTTTCTCCAAACTTACTCTTCTTTCCTGTTCCTCTGCGTCTGATTCTTCTGTAACTCACTGCTATATCGACCTTCCCGCTCCACTCCACCTCCCAGTAACAGCGCCCCCTCAGGCCAGTGGAGCTCAGGACCTGAGTCTGGTCTGTGAATCTGTCCTCATGATCTGGATACAGCTGCTCCTCTTCCTCCCAGGTGACTCTCTGTTTGTCCTCAGACAGTTTGAGTTTTCTGTGAATTGTGTTTGGGTCCAGAGAGAACTCACAGGAGTCTGAAACACAAACAGCTGAGTTAAAACTACAAATACAACAGGTCAAATTTAAAGGAACTAGAGATGGTTCTACTTTGTCTTTGACCTACAATATGTTGTTAATTTATAATTTATAACAAAATAAAAATAGAAAATCATATTTTCTCTGGACTTCCCTTGAGTTTTCTGTTTCTGCTTTGGACTGAGGACTCACATTTTCTGGGACCTGGGACCATCCAACACTCTCCAGCAGGATCCAACCTGAAACACACAAGTCCAGTTTAGACCAGACCAGAGACCAGGATCTGGACCCACCATGGACCAGAGACCCACTGAACCAGGACCCACACCTGACAGACAGCAGGGGGCAGTGTGGTCTCACCTGACAGACAGCAGGGGGCAGTGTGGTCTCACCTGACAGACAGCAGGGGGCGCTGGTCCCGTAGAGCGGTCAGGAGCTCGGCTGAGGGTCCTGGATGGTTGTAGCTCAGGTCCAACTCTCTGAGGTGGGAGGGGGCGGAGCTCAGAGCTGAGGCCAGAGCAGCCCCGCCCCTCTCTGAGACCAGACATCCAGACAGCCTAAAGACACAGCATTACACTCATGTGGACACAAGGGGGCAGAGTGCATCATGGGAGTGTCTCACCTGAGCGTCTCCAGTCTGCAGGGGGCGCTCTTCAGTCCAGAACACAGCAGCTCCACTCCTGAGTCCTGGAGGTCGTTGTGACTGAGATCCAGATGTGTGAGACTGGAGGAGCTGAGGACTGAGGCCAGAGGAGCACAGCTGTGAGGGGACAGGCCACAGCCACAAAGACTGAGGACAGAGAGGGACATTAGAGACTAGAACCTCCACACAAGAGTTTAAATACAGTCTGGACTCACAGGGCTTTGGTGGAGGCTCTGACCACCGGCAGCAGACCCAGGAGAGCTGTCTCTGAGCCCTGGTATTTCCTCAGGTCAAACTCCTCTAGGTCTGAGTCTGAGGACAGTAAGACAAAGGACAGAGCAGACCACTGAGCAGGAAACATGTGTCTATCAGAGAGTAATCCTTCTCTCGTGTTCTCCTGTATCTCCTCCAGCAGACTGTGGTCGTTGAGTTCATTCAGACAGTGGAGCAGGTTCAGGCTTCTCTCTGCAGACAGACCCTTTTTATTCAGGTTCTGTTTGATGTATTTTACTGTCTCCTGATTGGTCCGTTCACTTCCTGTGTGAGTCAGCAGACCCTGCAGCAGCCTCTGATTGGTCGGCAGAGACAGCCCCAGGAGGAAGCGCAGGAACAGGTCCAGGTGTCCGTTTGGACTCTGTAAGGTCTGGTCCACAGCAGAGCGGTAGAAGACTTCAGGGTCTGGACTCTCAGAGGAGTGTGGTGTCTCCAGCAGGTTCTCTCCAGAAGAGACCAACTTTAGCTCAGGGTCTGGGTTTTCTGTTTGTTTTTTTGTTTGTCGTGTTGTAACATCTATAAACAGCTTGAATTTTGCCGTGAGTTTAGATTTTAAGGATGTCTCTGTTTTGTTTTCTTTTGTTTTCAGTTTCTTTTCTGATGTGTCTGTTTCTATTGACTCCAGACTCTCAGAGGAGTGTGGTGTCTCCAGCAGGTTCTCTCCAGAGCTGAAGAAGGTCTGATGGACGTGAAGAGCAGCCAGAAACTCCTGCACACTCAGATGGATGAAGCAGTAGACCTTGTCCTGGTACAGGCCTGGCTCCTCTCTAAAGACCTGTGTGAACACTCCGGAGTACACTGAGGCCGCTGCAGCGTCCAGCCCACACTCGCTCAGGTCACTCTCGTAGAAGATCAGGTTTCCTTTCTGCAGCTGCTCAAAGGCCAGTTTTCCAAGAGACTTCACCATCTCCCTGGTCTCTGGAGTCCAGTGAAGGTCCTCCCCTGATCCCTGGTGATACTTGATGTTCTGCACTTTGGTATGCACCACCAGGAAGTGGACGTACATCTGTGTGAGAGTCCGGGGCAGCGTTGGGTCCTCTGTTTGTTCCAGAAGCTTCTGTAGAACTGTGGAGAGGATCCAGCAGAAGATCGGCATGTGGCTCATGATGTGGAGGCTGCGGACGCTCTTGATGTGGGAGATGACGGCTGTGGCCTGGTCTCTGAACCTCTTCCTGAAGTACTGCTCCTTCTGCGGGTCAGTGAACCCTCGCACCTCTGTCACCATGGAGACGCACTCAGCAGGGATCTGATTGGCCGCGGCGGGGCGCGTGGTTATCCAGAGGAGAGCGGAGGGAAGCAGGCTCCCCCTGATGAGGTTCACCAGCAGCACATGCACTGAGGCGGATTCTGTGGGGTCGGTCAGGACCCGGGTTTGGCCGAAGTCCAGAGGAAGTCTGCACTCGTCCAGACCGTCAAAGATGAAGAGCACCTGGAGCTGTTGGAAGCTGCAGAGATGTTTGGATGGACTGAAGAAGTGGTGCAGCAGCTCCACCAGGCTGAACTGTGTGTCTCTGAGCACATTGAGCTCTCTGAAAGTGAACGGGAACAGCAGCTGGAGGTCCTGGTGGGCCCGGCCTTCAGCCCAGTCCAGACTGAACTTCTGAGTCAGCACTGTTTTCCCCACGCCGGCCATGCCCTTCGTCAGCACTAATCTGATTGGCTGTGGTGAATGTGGGCGGGGTTTAAAGAGCTCTTCACATGTGATGGTCTCTGGAGCGGCCGGTCTCCTGGACGCCGTCTCCATGTGTCTGACCTCATGTTCCTGGTTGACCTCTGAGGCTCCGCCCTCTGTGATGTAGAGCTCTGTGTAGATCTGGGTCAGGGGGGCGGAGTCTCCTGCTTTAGCCACGCCCTCAAACACACGACTGAATCTCTGCTGCAGATGCCTCTTCAGTTTCTCACAGTGAACTCCAACTTCAGCCCCTGAGGAAGACAACAGAGGCCCTCAGGTTTATGCCACAGTTTTTGTCTGTTTATGTCACATTAAAGGTTCATTATGTAACTTCTCTGATGGAGCGTCTGACACCTGCTTGTCTCCATGGAGATATTTCTTTGCCTGAAATGTTCCACAGTATGGTATCTAACAATCAGTTGATGTCACTTGGCCAAAATACAAATCAGATCTGTGGAGAGCATCAAGGGTAAATAACAATAAAAATATATGTAACTGAAAATGAAACTAAATGTCAGATAAAGACGTTTAATGCCACAGTACGAAACATTCCAGGCAAAGTAATGGCTCCTTCATAGTAGTTGACAGTGACAGACCAGGGGCCTCATTTTTAAAGCTTGTTTATGGACTACACATTGTTTAGGAACCTCTGCACCAACCGCAGGAAAACTCCTCCTAAGAGCAGCACTTTGTTTAACTCTGCACCAGCTGAGACACTGGGACTGGGAGCCCGGGGCTGGGACTCTGCCGTACGCTCTCTGCAAAGTCTGGAGAAACGAGGAGAGGAGAAGACAAGAGAGTTTGATCAGGAAATCATCAGAAAATTCACGTATATAAAATAATAAAGTCATTTCCCTTGTGGATCAATAAATGGCCAGAACACAAAGGTCTATTTTTTCCACTTTATTCTCAACAATATTTTGCATTTGAAGCTGTGCGCTCTCGTGCACAAGCACGTGCACTTTCCCGGTGCAGTGCTGGATCTTCCTCAGTCCACACTGTGACCACAGACTTCTACAGGCCACAGTCTGTGGCTGTGACCCTCAGGAAAATTCCTACACAACTGTTTCTAAATGAGGCTCCTGGTCTGCTGCCTGGACACAGTCTCCTCCTGATCTCAAACCTGCCCAAAGGGCTGCAGCTTAACAACAGTCAGAGTTCTTACTGTTCTGCAGACGCTGGGCCAGATGCTCCTGGTCCATCCTCTTCAGGAAGTCCAGGGTGATGTTCAGAACCTCTGTGCTCAGCTCCTCACCCTCAGAGCATTCTGGGTAATCTGAGGCCAGGAGCCTGTGGAGCCTCTGCAGCTGCTGTTGGACATAAACCAGGACCTGCTCCTCCAGAACCTGAAACACACAGTTTGGACTAAAGTATTGGCTCTGATCCAGGAAAGATGGGAGTACGGCTCCTGGATGATTTGTTTCAGTCCTCAGAACTTTTGGTGTGGATCAGAAAACATTTATTTTCTGACAAAAATATTTTTTTCTGATAATTGCTAAAGTGTTTTTTTTCTGTACTCACAGTAAATACAGTGTCCAGATGGGGGCGCTCTCCTCTGCTTTCCTCTCGACTCAGCTTCTCTCTGTGGATCAGTATAGAGTTTAAGGACCTCCCTTCTCCCCAGACACTTCCCCCTCCCCTTTAAAGCACAGTCCAGGTACAGAGAGACACTTACAGGCCTGAAGCAGCTTTAAACTCTGGACCTGGATCTCTGGAGCGGTCACTCTGCAGAGACTCACAGCTCTGAGCACAACTCCTGTCAAACAAACACTTTATGTGAGGAAATATGTGAAACCTGCAACACAACCATTTCTATTTTACTCTAGTTTTATTATTTTCACATTTTTATTCAATGTTATTCTTTGTCTGTGGGAAAAGTTGATAAAAAGTGGAACACTGTGATACAACAGTGTTGTGTATTATTTATCATTTATTTGCCTGTGTGGACTTGTGCAGTCTGTTGTGGTGATGTTGCACTTGTCTTTCTGTGCACAGTTAATATGGTGCAGTTAAAGTTTGCCTCAATGTAACTGAAGCTAAAAAAAAAAAACAAGCAGCTCCTGGAGTTTAGTGCAGGTCTTAAGTCTGCAGGACGGGACCGGTTCATCAGTGACATTAACATGAATCGTACCAGAGAAAGTCACTGTCTGAAGATAAACTCACATCTGCAAAGACGTCTGAGCTCAGACTCAACATGGAGACACGGACACAACAGCTGAGAGGAGCTGAAACTGAACTTAACGGCTCCACAAGGTCAAACTGAAGAACCAGTGCAAAAATAAAAATCACAATGCAAATAAATGTCCTTGTCAAAGAGACCAAATGCCATAACTGTTAAAAACAGACATTTGAAAAAGGCACGTCACACAAAAGCACAGAAAAACCATTCACATCCAACATTCTACACAAGATCTGAAGGTAAAACACAAAGTACATGAGTGTGAAAGAGGATTCAGAACCAGAGGAGCTCGCCGTCCTGACAGTGAGCAGTGATGAAATGTACAAGAGACATTCTCTGCTGAAGATGTAAATGTGGAGATGGAAATACAGTGGATATAAAAAGTCTACGCACCCCTGTTTTTGTCATGTAAAAAAAACACATCAAGATAAATAATTTCACAATTTTTTCCATCTTTCATGTGACCTATAACCCGTACAACGCAACTGAAAAACAGAAAATTTTTCAGGTAGGTTAAATAAAAATAAACAACTGAGATAATGTGGTTGCGTAAGTGTGCACACCCTTTTATAACTGGGGATGTGGCCATGTTCAGATTTAACCAATTACATTCAAACTCATGTTAAACTGGAGTCAGCACTCACCTGTCACCAATTAAAGTGCCTCTGATCAACCCCAAATAAAGGTGAGCTGTTCTAGTAGACTTTTCCTCACATTTTTGTAGCCACATCTTCCAGCACGAGCCATGGTCCACAGAGAAGCTTCCAAAGCATCAGAGGATCTCATTATTCAAAGATATCAGTCAGGTGAAGGCTACAAAAGAATTTCCAAGGAATTAAATATACCATGAAACACAGTGAAGACGTCATCATCAAGTGGAGAAACTACGGCACAACGGTGACATTACCAAGAACCGGACGTCCGTCCAAAGTTGATGATAAGACAAGAAGAAAACTAGTGAGGGAGGCTGCCAAGAGGCCGACAGCAACACTGAAGGAGCTGCAGGAACTTCTGGCAAGTCCTGGCTGTGTAGTACATGTGACAACAATCTCCTGTCTTCTTCATGTGTCTGGGCTGTGGCGTAGGGTGGCAAGATGGAAGCCTTATCTTCTGATCTGAACTCTCCCAAACGCATGTGGGAAAATGTGTTATGGTCTGATGAAACCAAGGCTGAACTTTTTGGACATAATTCCAAAAGGTATATTTGGCACAAAAACAACACTGCTCATCACCAAAATAACACCACACCTACAGTGAAGCACGGTGGTGGCAGCTTCTTGCTTTGGGGCTGTTTTTCTTCAACTGGAACTGGGGCCTTAGTCAGGGTGGAGGGAATTATGAACAGTTCCAAATACCAGTCAGTGCTTGGCACAAAACCTTCGGCCTTCTGTTAGAAAGCTGAAGATGAAGAGGAACTTCATCTTTCAGCACGACAATGACCCAAAGCCCACATCTAAATCAACAAAAGAATGACTTCACCGGAATAAGATGGAGGTTTTGGAATGGCCCAGCCAAAGTCCAGACCTGAATCCCATCGAACACCTGTGGGGTGATCTGAAGAGGGCTGTGCACAGGAGATGCACTCGCAATCTGTCAGATTTGGAGCGGTTTTGCAAAGAAGAGTTGGCAAATATTGCCACATCAAGATGTTCCACACTGATAGACTCCTACCCAAAAACACTGAGTGCTGTAATAAAAGCCAAAGGTGCTGCAACAAAGTATTAGTTTAAGGCTGTGCATATTTATGCCACCAGGTTATTTCAAGTTTTTTATTTTATATTTTTCCCCTTCAAAGTTTTCAGTTTGTTTTTCAATTGCATTGTACAGGTTATAGGTCACATTAAAGGTGGAAAAAGTTGTGAAATAATTTGTCTTGCTGTCATTATTTTACATGACAAAAACCTGGCATTTGAACAGGGGTGTGTAGACTTTTTATATCCACTGTAGACACTGAGGCATTTCACCTTTACAAGCAGCTAAAGAGAAACTCAGAGCTTTTCCTGGAGGACACAGTCATGTAGTGGGACAGTTTGTAGCACGTGTCAAGTACGAGGATCAAGCTGTTGAACTGCCTCTGTTATCAACGTGGAGCATCGCTCTGTGGCAGAAACTGTTTGAAACGACTAAAACTCAACTGGAAAAGATCAAGTGTGTGAACGTGACAAAGCCCCAAACCATTAAAGACCTACAGACAAATGCAGAGAAACGTTCAAGGACGAGTTGGACACTCAGAAGGAAATAAAAGCAAGTATCATCGCCAGTGCAGAAAAGAGCTAAATCACTGCACTTATGTGGAGATGAGGCAGGTTAAGTGTCTTGCCCAAGGACACAATGGCAGTGTTCATCTGTAGGAGCTGGAATCACACCAGCCACCTGATCTGGAAGAATCTCCACCTGTGACTTTAAGAAGCTTGTGCAGAAAAACCCAGAGACACTAAATGTCTGTGTTTACTGTTTTTGTTCAACTTTTATTTGAAGAGTTTTTCTTCTTTTAAAGAGCGTCTGATCTGGTGAATCTGCCTCGATTTTCCTGTGTGGATTTGCACAGTTTGTCCTGGTGCTTGTCACTCTGTCCCTGAAAATGTGTCCAGTGAATATGGAGCAGTTAAAGTTTGTCTAAATGTTCATGTCTCTGACATTTGACTGAGTTTTTGATTCCATCTTAAATGAGTTTAAATGTTCCTGTGTTGAGCTGAGGGACAAGACCTGCACAAAATTTAAATCTGTAAAAATCTGTCAAATGAGCCTCAAAATTGCTCCGTTACATTTGACTCCAGAAAATAAAGTCAACAAACCTTTTAAAATCAATACCCCAGGATTTGGAGCTGTCGCTCTTCACAGAAACTGGACCAGGTTTAGTCCCAGATCCGGGTGGGTCCATCTCGGTCCTGCACAAAACAATGACATGAGAACTATGGTAACAAAAGACACATTTAAAGCTCCTGTATCACACAAAAACTGACTCCTGTCAACTTGAACTCATGTTCTAATGTTAGAACCTCCTCAAAAACAGAGCTGGACTTGTGTTTTGTTTCATTCACATGTTTGACTCTTTATTATGAGTCTGTTACATCTGCAAAGCTCCAAACGCTCTGTTCCACCTTTGCTAAGGTCTGTCTGGTCCCTGTATGACCAGAGCAGGAGCTGTGTTCTCTGCAGTAAGTCAGACCTGTTCCTGGTGCATGTTGGACTCCGCCAGGGCCGCCCCTGTCACCGGTTCTGTTCATTGTTTTTTATGGACAGAATTTCTAGGCGCAGTCAGGGGTCGGAGGGTCCGGTTTGGGGACCACAGGATCATCTCTGCTGTTCTCAGATGATGTTGTCCTGTTGGCTTCATCAGACCAGGACCTGCAGCTCTGGGGCGGTTTGAGTCGAGTGTGAAGCGTCTGGGATGAAGATCAGTTCTTTCAAGTCTGAGGTCGTGGTTCTCGACCGGAAAAAGGCGTCTTGTCGTCTCCGGGCGGGTGGAGAGTCTCTGCCTCAAGTGGAGGAGTTCAAGTCTGTCAGGGTCTTGTTCTTGAGTGAGGGGAGGACGGAGCGTGAGATTGACAGGTGGACAGGTGCAGCGTCTGCAGTGATCACTGTGGGGAAGAGGAGCTGAGCCGAAAGGTGAAACTCTTGATTTACTG